TGTAAGAAGTGCAACCCAATGTGTGGTATTAACAGATTAAGGTGCTGCTTTGTTAGTGGAAAAAAGACCTATGTGAAGCATGCAGAGCAACACGCACCAGTTTTCCCCTCCCAAGCAGTTTGGATCTTTTTTATCCCTGTCACATGTAGCCTCTTGATCAGATCTTGTCGGCTCAACATGTGTCTGTGTGTGTATGGGGTAAAGCGAGACGGCTGGTGCGCTCGCTGGACTAAGCCTGCCCCATTGACACACTTTAGTTTTCAATGGGTGTATGTGAGCTCCGAGTGGCACAGTGCAGCTGTCCTGTGGGTTAAATCAACACCCAGAGACGTCAATGCCGTGGTCTGGCTCCCGGTGAGGATTGAATCTCTGTGAGGGACGCAGGAGGGACGCCTCGTGCCAATTCCAGCTGTAGTTCCAAAAGTTTATGCAAAAGCCGTAGGAGGATGCAAACTAGATGGGAACAAGAATATTCTGATCCTGGTGAGGCCTCCACTGCTGTGGCTGTCATTGCTTTGCTAAGCGGTTTTATAAAACAGTCCGTGTTGCGTTTTTGAATATGTGACATTTCTTCCCCCCCTTTTGCTGTTTCACTGCAGATGCTTTTCTGTAGTCTAAAGAGGTGATAAGCCAAGACTTTGCAAAAGCATTTTCACCCTTTGGATATTGTAAATTGTGTCATTGGACACTCTGCGACCTTTGCCTTTTTATAGGCCTCCCTCTGTATTTATAGGTGTATTCTGCTGTGTAATAGTCCGCCTACTAGGTTTTACTCAAAGTAATAGCAGCTTACGGATCCACAAAGTCTAACATTATCTCCGCTAGACAACAGCCCTTGGTCTGTGGAGTCTATTTTTACCCTGTTCCTATTTACAATCTTGGTGCTTCGATACACTTAAATCAAAGCCCTTCAAACAGAGGCTGCCCACACACAGAGGACCCTTTGAAAACTCAGATCTGTCAAGGCTTCACAGGTTTCTCAACACACCTCCTTCAGAGCTTTCCCTAAAGGGAGCTCCTGCTTTCCTGCTCATTCAATATTTACCTGAGTTCAGAACAAATGCAGCGCCTTGCAAAGGTGCTCATATGTTTGATTGTGTTTTATTGGGATTTTATGTGACAGACCAAAGAGGAAGTATCTTTGGTGTAGTTAGTCTTATTTCTCTACCAGCTTTGCACATCACCACATGGATCCACCCCAGACAGACCTCTAAATTTCAGTTATAAAATGTTTTGAGTCTCTATTGGACTGGGCTTTGACTAGGACATTCTTTATAGTTTTCATGTAAGGCATTTTATTATAGGGTTGTTGTTGTTTGGTTTCTGTTAACTTGTCTTTAACCCCATCACCTCAATGGTGGTGAAATCCTGTCAACATAACTGCCATATAAATCTGTCAATGTCTTATTTTTCTAATGTTGTGCAGCCTTATTAACAGCCAAGGTATTTAGTTTCTAGTGATTGTATTTATTGAAAAAACAAGTTGGAAACCCTCTTCCTTTCACTTCACAATTCATTACTGATCTGTCTTTGTCTTTTATTTGAAATTACAATTAAATACGTCAGTTGTTGTGGTTTTAATATCTGTGAATTTTAAGGTGTGGGTGTGAATACTTCATCAGACTAAAGAGGAGCTTAACTGCTCGCTCCACCCTGGGCAGCGGCTGCTGGTGTAGCGCTCTCTGCTCCACCGTGCTGCAGCCAGACGTGACAGCTCATTACTCAATGCACACACCTCGTCCTGAGAGGCCTAGGATTCCCGTTTGTGTCGCTCGTTTTGCTCAGACAGATTGTAAGGGATGAGATGATGTAAGACAGCGAGCCTCTGACTGTATAAAGATCATCCTCTGTGCATATGGTTGAAGGAATGAGTGTACAGCAGAGTTGTAGCTGTGGAAGCGTCTAAGGAACACCACAGGTGTCAGCAGAACAAGCAGCTCTTGGGTCTTTTGGGGAGGTGAATTGGTCCTGATTGGGCCTCCCTTGGTACGGCTCTGTCTCACCGATGAGTCTTTTAGGAAATTAGTGAGCTAAATTTAGTCTCTGTAGATTAACGAAAGAGAGCAACGAAAGGTCCGTTCCCCCTTTTAAAGCTTCACCCTGAGGAATCGAGTCGTCTAGAACAAAATTAAAACCCAGGTTGTCTCAGAACTTTGATGTTTCTGCATCTCTCTGCACGAAAGACACCTGGTTCTTTGTAGCTGGACGGGTCCGGTCTGCTGCAGCCTGAACACAAGAATAAACACCTCTCCTATCGGCTTCAAACGCTCTGAGGGTGGAAAGGGGGGCAGGCGGTGCGTTTGAAGCTCTGCACTTGTTTTTTTTTTAAGCTCTCACTCTATCCAACCCTTTTCTTGACTTAGATTGGGACAACATTTATTGTTTGGGGTGCAAAAATTCTCAGTGGCAGCAGTCAGACGGGATCTGACAACAACGCCGTTATGTCTTATGTGACTGACATGGAGACCAACGGTGGTGGGATGTGATGATGGACAGCGAATCCTCACAGCTTTTGTGTCAGCTGTCCTGCATGGTGGGAAGATTTACCATCATGTTTTCAAGATGATATAATTAAAGAAGCATTAATTATGTTTTCTGAAGCATTCGTCAGCTTTAACGGCTAAAACCAGAACTTTTTGTTGTATGTTTTTTAAATATCAGACAGGGTCTTCCTCCTGACAGAGAAGCAGTAGCAAAGTCAAGCTTGTGGGTTGCCTTGCTTGCACTCCCTCTAAGCTCTTCCCTCAAACTCTCTATGGGACTTAGTTTAGGGCTTCTGTTCTTCAAACTGTAGTTTTGTTTTTCTGTAGCCCCTTTGGGTTCAGGATTATGTTTTTAGTTGGAAGACCCAAGATTTAACTCTTTGGAGAACGTCCTAAGAATGTCCCTAAGAGGCAAACGTTCCCGTTACCTCAATCTTTAATGCTAATTGAAGTTCAACTATGACATTTAAAATGCCTAATAATTAATTAAATTAAAAGGATTATACATCAACATTGAACATTAATTAATGTGCAACATGGTCTATATAGTTGGACAAGTGGGCTTTAAAATAGTAATGTAGATATAATTTTTTTTTTTGCTTGTAATTAATGTAGAGGTTTTAGTACATTAGATTTTTGCACATTGATAGCTTTCAGCTGGCTTTAGAATAGCTATGAGGCTGAAAATAATGATTTCCAAGCAGTTTAACAAAAATTAGATATACTTTGCCATATAATTAAAGAGAGTTACACTAGTGCAGAAAAACAGCCGTACCCTATTATTCTAGTTTTTTTGTGTCGGGGGAAAAAAAATGGTAAATAAGTGAAGTCAGTAGAGAAAGTAAAAAACAGCATGTTGGCAGGTGGTTGTAAGTCTGTTGCTGGCGGTTAGATGATGTCAGGAGCTTCTTAAGATTTGAGATGCTTCCAACTGAGTTTATAAGTTTTATTCCTGCATATAATGAGAAAATCTCAGCAACATTTAGCCTTTGAGTTCAGCGAGTGTTTTTCTTTAGGAACGCCGTCATTGAACCAGTGAACACCCGCCCACCCTGCAGCTCCTCAGCCAATAAACATCATCTATCAGCTCATTCCTCCAGTAAAAATTAATGCTTAAGAAAAGTCGCTTTGATAGTTGTTGTAACGCTCTGCTTTAGATTTTTTTAGTTATATTGTGCCCTTACCTGTATGTAAATACATATTACTTTTTTATTGAAAAACTGACTCCATTGTTATGTAACGCTATTATAGTCTATTATAGTCTAACTCACATTTATGCCGTTTTCTGTTTGTTTTTTTATTTATGTTTATGCTCTTTTTGTTCATGTCTTAAAGTAATTATATCTTCACGTGTGAAAAGTTTGCTTGTTTTACTGTTACTTGTATGGATCAGTTACATATATTTGGAGGTCTACACACAGAAACAGCCAGTGATGGCATGTTTGAAACTTTGTTTGCACACGCACCATAGCACCCTGTTAAGTGTGCCGAGTAGGGCTGGATGATTAATTAATCTGATCGATTTTCTTTTTTTTAATAGAATTTTTCATGCATGAAGATATCATTTTTTTTCCTATTTGAGGTTCCATAGTTCAGAGTCACACCAGTTCATCATTTGTTCATAGGTGTGTTCCAATAAAAGATTGGTTCTTTAACTGTGTGATACCACTGTCTGCAAGCAGTTCGTCACATTTTCATTGTTTGTTGTGAAACATGATTATTTTACAAGCATGCGTCAAAGCTTGGATTTCATTGCCCTTTAATTTGAGGTCACCTTCCAGAGGGGAAGATTGAAAACAACGTTAGTTTATGGAAGCAATATGTCATTTGTCATTTTATTATGAAACTTAAGCGAGGGGTAAAAAAAGGTTAATCTGATTTGGAAGGAAATAAGCGGTGGTTATCGTATTGCTCAACCAGAGTGTCAAGTATAAACTTAGCTTTACAGCTTCACCAAAAATCTTCAGTGTCTTTAGGCTTGTTCGGGAGTAATCCTCCTTCCTGAACCGAGTGATTGCTTTTTGTTCTGGTCTCTGATGTTTGGGACAGATGAAGTGGGAATCTTTTGGCATTTGAAAATTTTAACCAAGAATCTACCAGGCTTGATGTCCACAACTGTTTTATAGTATCTATTTTAATTTATTTTGATATTTTCTATGATGTCACACAAGAAAGCTGTTTTTTGTTTTATTTTAAAGGTTTTGCCTTAAAACGCATCCACTTATTATTACCCATTTAACGCTGATGCTGTGAAACCTGCAAAGCCATTACACCGTTATTCGTTTTATTTTGTTAAAGTCTTTTGTTTGTCTAAATACATCTTTTTCATTTAAACCTTATTGCCTTAAAACAGGAAACCTTTCATTACATTTAATGACAAAGAGGTTGAAAAGGGTCTTTTCATATAGAAATCGACTAAGTTGATTATTTTCTTTTTATGTAACCAGCATCTGATGCAGCCTTTCTTTCTTAATCATTTTATTGTGTTTGTAAAGATCTTTTTTCTGTCCTGGCCAGGTGTGAGTGCGATGAGGAGAAGTTTCAGACAGTGAGGCCATGGGCTGCACCTCAGCCAAGCAGGTGTCGGCCGTGCCCAACGATGAGGACGGACGCGGCAAGGCGTACAGCAATGGAGACCTCTACTCAGGTCAGCACAGCTGGGGAACTGATGTTCTTAATGATCTTAGAGAGTCGCAACTGCACAGCTAGATTCTCTGTTCTGGAAAATATATTTCAGCAAACACAGATTGGTTTACACCTCATGTAGGACAGAGGACGGACCCAGAGGGGGGTTATGTTGGTGATGGAAATGAAACCGGTGATGAATGTTTCAGCACCGACCTTAGTGAAACGTAAACGTAAAGTAATGGCTATTTTGCTAATCAATTAACCCTTTAAAGCCTGAACCAGGAAATAATTGACAGAAGATTCTAATTTTCCCAAAAATTGAACTTTGTGACAAATGAAATAACTATATACATTTTGTAAAAACGTTAAATTACATCATTTATTTGCATCAATTTATTTGATATGTTACGCATTTCTATATCATCTTTTATGTTTTCTGTTCACTACATGCGTCTGATTATGTAAGTCAGGGTTTCAAGAACAAAAACATCACACTGATGACGCAGAGGTTTCAAAATCTACTGTATCAAATATGATACACTTGGCTTTAAAGGGTTAATATGTATATCGTTTTTTTATTTTTTTATTAATCAAATCATAATCAGATTGCTCCTTAAAGATTTTACACAGAATTTAAACCAGGTGAAGCTAAAACGAACCCGATGAATTCTGGATAGACTTTTCTGACAGACGAAAAATATTTTTCATTTTAATCACAAAATGTGTTTAATTTTTTTCTTCTTATTTTTTTATACAATTTCTGTATAATTAATGAGTGAGTTGATAGATAATGGCACATTTTTTTCTCTATACTCCAGTTAAGGATTAATTGATTACTAGGTTGGTTAATGATTATTCCAATAATTGGCTGATCAGGATGAATGTGATTGTTTCAGCCCTGCTGTGTTAAAGTGGATGAAGTAAAAAGTTTTATTTGTATCCGTGTTAATCATTCACAATTATGTGATATTGTACATTAATTAAAGCAAAAAGCAAAAAAAAAAAAAAAAAAAAAAAAAACAGGGTCTCATATGAAACAAATGTTTCCTAAAATGCAATTTTCCTGATGGTAAAGCTGCTAAGTCACTTCGGTTTTTCTATAAAATAGTTGTGAGTTTTCTGGACCTGTAAAGACAGAATATGGTCATGTTCAGAGCAACTTTTATCCAGCAGGATAGGAAATTGAAACTGGATGAGTTAAAAAGGGGAAGGATGTTTTTCTTTCTCCATTTGCCATTCTGAAGAACATATCAATGTTTAATATTTTTAAAGAGTTTTGCTGTCAATGAGAGCTTTTTTTTTTCTCACAGGATCCCAAGTGGTGCTAGAGAGGATTTTTGACTTTGTTCTGTGTTGAACCGTTCCTGATCCATATAAGAACTTAGTCTGATAATGTGATGGGTTGAAAACAGGCCCGGGGTTCATTAGTGACTGATATAAACGGCTGCAGCTCTATCTTTAATTGTATGCAGCCGGCTGTGCTGTAATGAGGGACGGGAATGAATAAGAGGATGGCTGGTTGGAGGATTAACTGAGATTAAGAATTAGGAGAGACACAGTTGGATGGATTGTGGCAGATGATGATCCATAGGAGCCCCCCACCCCACCCCCCAACTCCCATGGTTTCCCTTCGACCCTTCTCTGCTCTTCCCTCCACCTCCTGTGGACTTTCTGCTCTTTCCCATCCCCATACTCTCCCTCAGACACGTTCTTCCGCCTCACCCCAGAGATTTCTTTGCACTTTCTTTTTTTTTTATTAGTTTTTTTTATTTTTTCACTGCAGTGAAACCAGAAATGTACACAGAAGGAGGCGTTAAGAGAAGATTAATTTAATGAGAAGGAAAAACAGACTGACATGCATTGAAGCTCATCATTTCGTCTCATTTTCTATAATCTTTCCAACCTCTTTCAGATCACCCTCCTCCCCCTTTAAGGCCTTGTCCACTTCTTCCTCTTTCTTCCTGCCACTCTATTTTGACCCCCTTCCCCATCCTATCTCCCTCCTCCCACTTTTCCTGCCTTCATCTCTCAGCGTTGCTCTCCAGCTCTTTTCCTCTCGTCTCTTGCACAACATTAGGTCAAAACCTTGTGTCCTTTCACATCCCTTCCTCCCGCTTCCTCCCAGCCTGTCCCGTCCCCTTTCTGATGTCTTTTGATTAAACTGGAATGTGGAGTAGCTGTAGACGGGGCAGACCGCTGTTTGGACTTGTCCACACATATTTACGTAGAGCTGCGACTTCTCCAACCGAGGGTTTCCAAGCCACATCCCCTGTGTTATTATTTTTCTTCCTCATCTTGTCTTCCATGTATATCTGCTTCTGTGTCATCCTCATAATTGAGATGGAAAGGACCAGCAGCTCTGGTCAGCCAGTCTGTCTGCCTGACGCTCATAAATTCACCCCCAGTGGACTGCATGTCTTTGACTATGCGTCGTCCATCAGCTTGTTTCATTGCACTGTGAGCTTCTCTTCTTTCTGACACTGATCCGCACACCGGTAGATCTTTAGTGCGAGTGCATCCCAGATATTTGGGCTTCTCAATCCAGACTCTAACCTTAAACCACCCACCCACCCCCACCACACTTAGTTGCTCCCACACAATAACCGGAAAAAGGCTGAGCTCCATTACACAAACGCTGAGGGACGACGAGGGAAAATGGCAACACTCTCTCTCCTTCCTTTGGCATCACGCTCCTGGTCTGTGTAATAATCACAGTGAGAGGAGATCGGTGGGAGCAGATAAGGCTGTAATGTGCTGCATGTGTTTGTAAAGACTGCATGATGCAGCACACAAACATTTATTTAGAGACGCAGCATACAGCTTTTACTGTGTCTATACAGCTCCTTTCTAGGTTCCAACTCTTGATTTTTTTTAAGGGATAAGCAATCTCAGTGGTGGGTTTAGGGGGCTGCAGCTCCCTTTACCCCCCCCCAAAAAAAAAAAAACAACAAAAAAACTATTAGAAATGAAAATGTTTTCTAAGTGTATTCTTATTAGGGCTGGGTATTTTGGCCAAATTCCTGAATCGATTCGAGTTTGATTCATACAGTTCTAAATCGATTCATTTCGATTCGATCTGTTTTCACAATAATGAAAGCAGTTCAACTGTTTATTTTTTCCTGTCATATTAAACACAAAGTGCAAACTTGTAAATCAGACAGTTTAAAGTTGAGACGTGAACAAAACTGTCTCAAAAGTGCAAACTTGTTTGTGAAATGTGAAAAAGTGAAGCCTCGCTCGAGCAGGGAGACGTGACACAGCGGGGGCACAGCAGACGTGCATGAGCTGCATTATCTTCACTGCACAATCCGTATTTGCAGCGTTTCCTGTAACAACTGCAGGGTGTTTGCTGGTCAGCCCCCATTTGTTAATGTCTTCAGTTAACCTATTGGCTATATTTGCAGACAAAAGACTTAAGTTGGGACAGCTTGGTGAGCGGTGTGTTATTGTAATTTTCGGACTATTAGCCGCACCTGAATATAAGCCGCAGAAGCTAATTTGCATGATTTGTACATATACAAGCCGCACCGGACTATAAGCCGCAGGTTTTTTATGTTTAATGTCTTTCGCTGTCGTTATGTCTTCCGGAGGACCTCCGAGTTCCCCCGCACGCGGCTACTGTACTTGTGTGTTGAAGCAAATGTGACGTCAACATGGTAGGATGATAAAATCCATAGATTTAGGTATTACCCTAGTGGCCATTAGCTGTAAAAGTCCATACATAAGCCAGGGGCGTTGCTAGGCACAAAGCTTTACTGGGGCACTGGCCCCCTACCGCATATGCCCCTCCTTCCATACACAAATACAGACAAGCACACTGCCCCACCCTGATATATTCCTACCAAAATTAACAGTTGACATATTAATAAGTGTAAGAGCATATTTGTTTTAACAAACATGAACATTTTCAACGTTGCAGCTATAAAAAATAAGACAT